TTTAAAACCTCTGACTTCAAACTGCAGGATTTCTACCATTTTACAGTCTGGACTAAAGCTCCATAAGTTGAGGATCTGCTGCCTAACAGTTGTGCATTCACAAAACGTGAGGTCCTTCAAGCTGAGGACACTTTAATGCACTGCAGCTTTAAATCCACATTTCAAAGTTCAGAATCCAAAGTAGCAGCAGATAATTTAGCCTTGAAGAAGAACAAGAAAGGTGGCCTTTGCTTTGTTTCTGTGTGACACCTAAGAAATTGGATTCTTTAGAACATGCTCTGTGCATCTCTGCTTTGCTTTGCTCTCTCTGTATATTGCATTTGTTCAGCTTCTGGCTCTGTAAACATCAAAGTTGGAAATGAATATTCTTCTTATGTATTTTGCCCAAGATCAAAGCAAAAGATCCGCAAACACATTGCACCCTCCCGACTCGCTGTTAACAAATGCTAATTGAATATTTTCTGCCGGTAAAACTGTCACGTTTGGAAATCTTTTATAAAGCCTGAATGAACTGTGCATTTAAAGAGAAAATGTGTGCTGCATATAAGGAATGCTGCTGTCCATTCAGAAAGGAATCTGTAAAGTCCAATATGAGCAACGACTCTCTGGAGAATTTTATATCTACCTTATAAAGCTGCTTTTTTCATGTTTAAGACCTGAAAATACTCTGCAGTCCATTTTCTCAGGTTTCCTTCTCAAACACAAAAAGGTAGGGAGTCATTCATGCTGGGTTTGAATTTATGCGCTGTGCTCTGCTGCTTTAGTGGGTTTTTTCTTCTCCTGAATGGAGCTTTTTGTTTTAACAAGAAAAGTGCTGTAAATCTGGTAGTCGAATCCAGAGGCCACTGAGCAGCTCCTGTTGGTGTATTATTGACTTAACATCTCTGCCACGGATAAAGACAAAAGGACCTCTTGGGAATCCTTGAAACATTTTCAAGAAACATTTTTGAGACTGTACAGACATTTGACTTTTATCCTACATTCATTTAGGCAGCATTACCTATTACTGTAACCCAGGACTCCCATGTTTAGAGTGGGGGTCCCCCCCACCCCCACCCCAGGGACGTGGGCGTTTTCACAAGATGTTTTTCACAGTCATCGTGAAGTAAATCCCTGAGATACAGTATACAGAAGGCCAAAATACATCATGACAAATACATTTGAGTTTCCTATGAAATAAGTAGATGTGACATTTATTTATTCATCTAATTCAGGAGTTCCCAAACATGTCAGCTTGTGACCCTATAAATTATAGTTATACAAACTGATAACAACATATAAATACATCGTTAATATAACATTACGTTGTTATTTCAATATACGAATATAGCGTGAAGTAATAATATTCATTTTGAAATGTATTTTCATGACATTTAATTAAGTCTTCATTTTAATTCAATAGTTATTTCATAGTTTATTGGTATATTGTTTAATAACTGAATTGTGTTTTAGATAAATGGATAAATGTTTCATCTACTTATTTTATTGGACATTTATTTACTTCAATTGGTGTTTCACGACCCCCCTGGTGGGTCCAACTACTGACTTTATGAACTCCTGATAAAATAAATGCTTACTCAGATATGAGGTATATTCACCGCCTAGTACTTTGCTCCATAAATATTGCAGGTAGTGTAATCTGCGCTGCATTCTGGAAAGTGAAGATACTTTGTTCTACTTGCAAAACTGTGTTAATTTGTGCCATGGAAAACCAACTACTCTTCCACTCCCTCTCTGTCCCAATGATGCGTTTAGATACCGACACTGTCTGATTTTACTTAATTTTTACAAATTTCAAAAATCGATCAAATGAGTAAAAAAATTTCTTAAAATAACTGTATTTGGCCTTAATTTGAGCAAGTTAATAAGATGATCTGGCAATTGAATAACTAAGTTTAGCCATAAATAGGACAATTAGATATTATGCACACAAAATTCAATTCAATTCCGTTTACTTGTAAAGCGCCAATTCATAACACATGTCAACTCAAGGCACTTTACAATTCACCAGATCATACAGTCAATTTGATTCAAAGTTTTCTATCTAAGGAAAACCAGTTGATTGCATTGACTCAATGACTCTTCAGCAATCCCTCACACTAAGCATGCTTGTAGCGACAGTGGAGAGGAAAAACTCCCTTTTAACAGGGAGAAACCTCCAGCAGAACCAGGCTCAGTGTGAGCGGCCATCTGCCAAGGCTGACTGGGGTTCAAGGAGACAGAAGCAGAGATACAAAAAGAAACTATAAAACGCGGCCCCATCTAGGAAACACACAGCCAGGCAGACAAGCTCCGAGCCATCTCCCATGTCAGAGGATAAAGATCCAGACAGTCACAAAATAAGATATTGGAGTTGGGGTTTTTTTTCACTTATTTAAATGTAAACCACCCTTTTTCTTTAGAAAATTGTCTTATTTGCCTACTAATATCAAGGGAAAATACACCTTTATGACTTGGCCCTGCTTCCGTTATTTGTCTCTTTTGTCTTCATGAAAAACCTGCATTTATGCTTAGGTTTAATAGGGATGTCCTGATCTGATGTTGATATGGGAAATCAGTTTGATATATTAGCCAAAAAACAAATAACGGAATATATCAGCCTGCACCTAATATGACTGATAGAAGCAATCAACTTCTGTTTAAAATGTATGTAATCCAGTGGTTAATCATACATGGGTCAATTATTTTAATTCTTTATTATGGTTCTCTGTTTGAATATCATTCTATAAAGCCTTTTCTGATATTCAACACTAAGTGATAAATATTAAAAATAAGCATGATTTTTTGCTGATGTATCAGGTCAGTATTGATATTTGTCAATTCTGAAAGTATTGTATGTTAAATAAAGTTGTATTTGGGCTAAGGCTGGGTATTGGTTTAAATCTCGAGAATTTATTAGGATTCTCAAGATTTAGAATTTATTGTTTTCAATCCAATACGATCACTCTAATCTCTAATTGGATTGCTGATAATAAAAACATGTATTTTGGGCTGTTAATCTGAATCACATGACTGTGTAATTGGAAATTAGACAGGAAATTAGATATGTATCATTTTTAACTCAGCCCTAATCTGGATATCTTAGTTAAACTACACCCCAAAAAAACAGTTATCATTAATTATGGGAGCCTTCATAGGAAATTGGTGGATTTTATGTATGCAAGTCAGGGTAAAAAAACGTTGGACACAAATGCATGCAACACTTTTCGTGTTTATGTTTGTAAAAAAAAATGTTCTATGCTATGAATGAATTTCCTTCCACTTTGCAGCTATGCAGTCAATGTTCTCAGTGTGGTTGTCTATTTTGACCTTTTCTCCTGTCCTCTGACTTTGCTTTGGGGTCATCTTTTTCACAAGGGCTGCTGAAGGATGTTTTTACCCGTCATTTTTTTGTAGTTGGTGTCTTTGCCAACATAAATCACAATCTTAACATATTCAGCTCCGGTAGGGGGTTGGACCGTCTCTGGGTTTTGTGTGTAAACAGGTGCATGTTGAGTAATTTGTTTCAGAAGGGGTTGGAGACGTACTTAAAGTATGCAAGCATTAGTAGCCTCACAAGTGGCCTTTGTGTCCTTGTGTACAATTGTTTCCTTTAGGCTATGCTAAATCCTTGCATTGTGTTTTTGGAATATGAATAAGAAGAGACACCTAATATGAATCAACAAAGAACCTCATTGTCGTATCCAGACTTGTCTTTCTCCTCCATCCTCCTGGCTGGTCTGCATCCTTAGTAAAGTTGGTAAACATGTTGATTTTTCCATGCAGGAATAAATGAGCTGGTGTTTTGCGCAGAGGAGGCTTTCCTCTCAGCCCAGATCTGTCATCTTCTGAAAGCTGTGCTTTGCCTTATGGCTTGACAGCAGCTTTTCCTGTTTTTAAGCAAAATAGCATGACTAAGTTTTTTTCTCAATTTGGATTTAGAAGAAAAGAAAAGTGCCATTTATGAAAACCAGTAAATATTAGCTATGTCACAGTCAGGTTTGCTGTACTCTCCACACCAATGTAGATTGTTGTATTTGCCAAATCCAGGTCTGACCCTGAAACATCAGCAAAATTGAGGCTTTAAAACTCAGTAGCATTTAAGTAGAGTAAGAAAAACTCATTTTTTTATATCTGTATCGTGATTGCTCCCCATTTAATTCAGTCTTCTAGAAATTCAACGGTCAGACCTTTGTGGCTTTAAAAGCTATAGAATATAAGCACAGCATTCAGCAGATTTATTTCATCCTTTGCTGTCTGAGTGCAGGGTGCAGACACACAAACACACACAGACCAGGCAGTATACTTTCCTTTTAACCGTAAAATATCATTGTATAGGGTGAAAAAAGCATTTATTGTGGAAAACCCCAGATTTATTAGATCAACGGAAGAATTTTCCAGGCCTATAATACAGTTCTGTGAGCTTTGCACCAGAAAATAGACAATGATTGTTAAAAACTGGCCAAGCAAACTAAGGCTGCATTGGTGAAGGAAACTATGGGGGGAAGTCCAGCTAAAAGCAAAAGGATTAGGTTTAAATCTAACGATTATTTTCTAGTTGATTAATCTGCAGATTTTTTTTTTTTGTATTGTTCATTAAATAATCTAATGAAGGTGATAAATAGAGAATACTTCACGGCTTTTAAACAAGCTGAAGCTATAAAATTATGTAATTTAAGGATTTAAAGATAAAGCATATCTACAGACAAAGAAATCTATTTTCTTAAATACCAAATTAATGAACACGATTTTACCATAATTTCTGCTCTTGGTTGGTGTTACTGATGAAAGCAATATCTGAGATCAGGTATCAAAGTAAATGTACAATGTTACTGAATTATAAATTTTATTCAAAGCAAAAATTAGCTAAATAAATACTTAAAATAATTAATTGAAAGTATTTAAAAATATAGAAACTGTAAACAGCTATGCGTATTGGTTCATTCAATGTGGTTTAAATCAACCTTTGCTGGTTTGTATATATAAAAAATATATATATTTTTCTCTTTCTTTATTTTCAGACTCAGTATCCAGTGAAGCAGCGTTTCTGGAGAACTTTGTCTTGGGCACAGGGGAGACTCTGGAGATGTCCTGCAACCCGGAGGACCCCTCCAAGCCTGTTGTCTGGTTCAAAGACGCCGTCGGACTGGTGTCTGGCAACAGGACGCGAGTCATCCAACGGACTTTACGCATCATCAATGTGTCGTATGAGGACTCTGGAGTCTATACGTGCCGGTTGGCCCATACCAACGCCCTGCTCAACAATTACACCATCAAGGTGACAGGTGAGAGATAAGTGGCGAACCAGAGTTGGATTCTTTATTTCCTGCTGAAATAGGTCCAATTATAGCGGTTACCTTTATGATTTTCTCCTCTCCACACACCATGCCTTCAATCTGTAATATGGGCCGTGTTTTCACCTCATACTGGAACAGGCTTTCAGCCGTGAACACTCAGCCAGATCTCCCCCTACTGATGCACAGTTGAAGGTGAAATTCATTATCAGGGCTCTGTGGTGAAAGCCGGGAGCTAATAAGACTGCAAGGAGAAGAGGAAGTGAGGTAGGGACTGTGGGTGGTGGTGGTTGGGTCAGAAGGAGGCGAGCAGCAGCTTAAAAGTCAGGAGGCGCTTTAGCGTAAAACTCAGGACACCAGCTGAGTCTTCTATTGACACGTAATTAGAAAGCAATTAGCTTCAAAGATCGCAGCATTGAAAACAGATGGGGTGGCAATAAATGCACAAGTTTACCCCCCTTACCTCCTCAGATACACACATACTATTCCAGCACTACTCAGAGCTGGAAATCTCCTTTAGGTCCAGCATATTTGCTTTATAATGTCATGCTTTCCTCATCATTGATTTCTAAGCAAAAGTGTCAGATATTATATGTTTTATCCCTTAAATGAATTTCTCAAATAAAACCAGATAAGCACATTTGCTTTCAGCTCCTCACAGCATGCCTCAGGGATTAGGATCATATTTGATTGAATTTTATTGCAAGTGTTAGTGAAGTGAAGCTTTAGTGAAGTGCAATTTTAACGCTCGTGTGCCTGCATGAATCAACAGAAAAATCTGACGTTTAACAGCATGAGGCGACAATATCCTGTTTTCCCCTTTAGTGCCGACTGCTTCCCTCCCACTACTTTAAACAATCCACCTTTGCTCTATCTGGAAACACACAGAGAGCCATTGTGCTGATCCTCAAATATTTGCAGATNGCCGACTGCTTCCCTCCCACTACTTTAAACAATCCACCTTTGCTCTATCTGGAAACACACAGAGAGCCATTGTGCTGATCCTCAAATATTTGCAGGTGAAAGAAACCTCCAGTTTAGTGGTATTATTAGATGATACTTGGTGTTGGGTTCATGGAAGTACGATGAGACTTGAGAAAAATGTTCATAAAATGAACATTTTCAAACAATATTATTAAAAAAAGGATTGTTATTTAGAATAATCCAATCCAAGTTTGATGATTCGAGCTAATCCAGGCATAAGTAAAGACTTATCCAAATTGCTATGGAGTGAATTGTTCGCCATTGCTGTTGCAACCACAACATGTCTATATGGATTTTTTTTTTTCTATGGCAGTTCTTTTAGGCACGAAAGTGGATGCGATTTTCGGGTAAAAGCAGGTTAGCATACGGCACGTGACAGATTTTAGTATGAATGTTTTTGTTAACAAGTTGGTACTATTTCCCAGAAATATTCTACATTGTGGGGACTTTAGTTTTAGGACCAAGTTGTGAATTTAGTTTAGATTAGGGTTAGGTATGTGTTCCAGCTTTTTTTTTTATTGTCATTACACTGTCAGAGCAACAAAATTCACTCTGCATTTAACTCATGCCCTTGGGGAGCAGTGCGCTGCCATTGCGCGGTGGACATTTAATCTGGATTAAATGTCTAGATTTTATGTTCTAAGCCTGTCAATGTGTAACAACATCAAATAAGCTAATTAGCAAAATCAGAGAGAATAAACATGATTTATCTTTCTTTCATCCAGAAGTTGTTCTTAATTGTCTTACAAGCTCAAAGTGATAATAGGTCTAATTAGTGAGGAAAATATGCTGGCATATACCTTTTATAGAAAAAAAGAGCATTTACCGAGTATTTCAGAGTATCTTAGCATCTGAAAGCATTTTTTTCCTTTTAAAAAAACCTACCTCACTTTTGTTCTATTATAGTTGCAAGCTGTGATGCATCAAATCTGCTTCAAAATTCTCCCAAAATAATCTTTTTTAAAACAACAATGATGGACAAACTTTGTGTAGTGATCTGATTTTTGACTGAGTAAAAGTATTACTTTTCATGTCTCTTAAGAACTGATTTCAACAATTACAAAATCTCGCTGCTGGCTAGTTGTACAAACACCATACATCATCACCACAAAGTTGTTTTTTTTAACAAAACTCCTAGTTCTTTTGTTTTAGTTTACCACCCTGATACATCAGATATATCTCCAGTATTGCCCCCGCTACTCCTGAGGATGCATTTTTCAGGACACCGTCTCTCTGCTGTGTAGACTGCAGTAGTACAACACTTTAGGCTCAGGTGTTGAATGATAGAAACAAAGACCTGCTAGTCAGGAGTTTTAGGAGCAGTTTCAGCTCACCGGGGCTGTCGAGGTAACAGCTGGCTCTCATTAACCAGACCTGTGGATCTGAACTGGAAAAGTCCAAGGTCACGCGGAAAATAGTTACCTTGCTGCTGGCAGAAAAAAAAAAAAGAGAGAGAGAGAGAGAGCGCCAAAGCAAATCTAAACCGAATCTGGCACTGCAAAAAAATTAGTCTGACATGCAAAGCTTCTTGCAGACTCTTACTGTATGCTGCAACGATAGCAAGTACCGAATGTGTGCATGTGTTCGAGGATCCAAACACTCTGGCGCAGGAGCTCTAATGACCCCCTGATTCCTATCGTCTATGGGAATGTTTAGGTTGTAATATCTGTGAGCTGACACGCTCTGCAGGACTGTAGACTCATTCAGGACTTTCTCAATGAACAGCCAGCTGTAATGTGCACTCACGCATCTTTGAATCTGTAGGTAGGAACATTTGCACAACCTCGTTTGTTGCTACACACCATTTAATCTTTAATTCACACATAATTCTGGGCTGCAGACTTTATAGCTGTGATTAATGAAACGCATGCACCTTTAGCTAATGCTCCAGACCGGGTTGAACCTGGCCTCCTTAGAGTAGAAAGAATCATGTTTTTCTAAAGCTCATGTGTTTCTCATGTTTCAGATTCTCTGTCGTCCGGTGATGATGAAGACTATGATGAAGATCCAGTTGAAGCAGGTAATGGAAATGGTGAATACTTTTCTACTCCTCATGAAAATATAGATATTTTAAACAAATTTTAATATTTGTTTGCTTTTTTTTTTAGTATGGACTTATCCTCAATTAAGAGTGAAAAAAAAATTCACTTTATTTTGTATCTATGCAGAGTCAGGAGAATGGAAAATTATTTTTTTTCTGTTCTAAAGGATCTTTAGACATTAGACATTAGAGACTTTGAGACTTTAGAGATTTTGTTTACACAAGTGTAAAACAAAAAGAAATTTCGTTTGAAAACAACTCACTGGACAATTTCATCTTTTTAAAAGTAAAAGTATAGTAAAGTATAGTAAAAATAAATAAAATCTAAGCTCTTTTTAAAGAGCTAGGAAGGTCCAACATTGTTCTGTCTACTCAAAGACTGAGAAAAGTTGAGAGTAGACTGTGCCTTCTTCAATCCATAGAAAAGCTACATACACCCTAAGCCTTACTATACAATTGATGTTGTAGCATTCACAATTTAATCTCAATATAAACCAAACTGCGAGAGACTGTTTTGGATGTGAAGGCTGATTTAAGGGTTCCATCAATGATCCTATGGATCAGAACACTAACATACAGGCTACACTAGGCTAGACTTCCAGCCGGTAGGACGTATTTAACTGATATACACCCGAAAGGTGGAAAGACATGTAGGAACATGTGACTGTCATATATCCAAAAAGGCTTCTATTCACATAAGAAAATAGCTAAACTTTTCTGCTTTAATTTAATTTAAACAGTTTTTTTGTAACATGTTGTCAGAAAAATGATACCCTTTTTTCCCCACTTAATTTAAATGTCTGAGGTAAAGAACGCATCATTAACCACCTTCATGGTTAATTGGCCTTAAAACTCTATGATTACTTTAAGCCATTGAAGTAGTTAATACAAAGGTAATTTACCTCTGATACTATTTTACATATGCTGTTGAAAACAACAAGCCAGAAAACAGATCATAGCAACAAGCAATAAAACAACAACTTTTAAATTACATCTGCTTTGTGCAACAGCCTTTTGGCCATGAATGATTTGAACATGTTTGTATGATATGATACAGATTTGTCTTGTCCGACCATTAAGCATGCATATGGAAAAATTGTAATATTTATTTATAGATGACCTTTTAGGGCATCATCAGTCTTCATTGTGGAAGATAGCATTTACCTTCTAGCAGTTGTATATATATATATATATATATATATATTATTATTATTTTTTTTTTTTTAAAGAAAGTCTGTGGATGTTAACAAGTGGCTTGTTACTTGGATGCACTCTTGACCTGGTTGTCTGAAAAAAATGTTGTTTACTTCCAACAAAAATATGTAAAACACAATAAGTAGAAATCTTGAAAAACTAAGATTGAAATGAAAGTGAACTTAATATGATGGTAAAAGTTCAAAACCCGGTCACAATTTTGATTAGAAAGTGGTCAAAAAAATAATCTTACAAAACCTTCCATCGTCATATCGAACACTTTGACAAACAGAAGCCTTTTCAACCACGCCTTCCAGTTTGTCCTTAATTTTTTTAATTAAAAAGAGGGTCTAAAAGTGACCAAAATCAAGTTTGATATTTGATTGACATGCCACTTTTGCTTCCAAGTTTCTCCACCTTCGCACGGACAAAACGTAACTGCAGTCAACAAAACTCTTCTTGGAAGACATGAAGAAAACAGCTGTGTTATCTACTTTGTCATGAGGTGCAGTGTTATAAGCTTGGCGTTATGCATATCTCTGCTGCACAGATCAAAAGCTCAGGGTTAAGATTTTTTTTTCTCTTAAGCAGAAACGGCCCCCTAAGTGCTCTGCTGGGATGTTAACTGATTTGCAATTCAGGATGGGTTCAGGTGTAGGGTAACAAAGAACAGTGAAGGATGGCTTCTGCCCACTTCGCAGACTTCACACACTCCTCTCTGTCAGCAAGCATGGCTGCAGAGACGGAACGCGTCTCCTCCTCTCTGACAGCCCTGGACCAGACAGGCAACACACTGCGCTGCCTTTATTGTACCATATGGAGGGAGACAGCGGGAAGGTGAGGCACAGACAGGTGTAAGGGACTCAGGAAAGAGAGCTTACATTACTGGGGAGGATCAGAAACAAAGGCAGAGAAATAAAGGAAGATGAGAAATAGGAAGAGGAGAGAGAGCAGAGACATCATTCATATTTTAAAGGTTCTTGTTGGGCAAAATAGAAATATTTACTCTGATGTTTTTTTATTATAACTTGAAAACATCCCAGTGCAGAAGTAAGACATCATACAGCTTTTGTGACAGAGCGGCAGATGAGCGGGGCTTTGAAATCAAAGTTACCTTCCAGGCTCATCAGACCTCCTAACAATATCGTCACTCTTGAATCAAAGTTGAATGCTGAGCCAGAATCTCTGCTACTGTAAAAGCCTGACTGCATGATGAAGTCTATTGCCATTTAATCACAATCATCATTTGAAACAGATCTTTAAATTTAAAGCGACAAAACATAGGACATTTGTATGAGAAAGAGGGAAAATTTAGTTGTAAAATTTGGGAAAAATAAGCCACTGTAAGAATAATTTGGACCATTTCAATAAACAATACAACAACCCCATTAGATTTATTTGAAGTCTTGCTCTCTCTCGCTTTACTGCAGCCTACAACAAACATGGAAATATCTCAATGAGTCACAGCAATAGCCTCAGTGCTTTCTTTTGGCTGTTTTCTGTTTTGTTTTGTACCACGCTGAGAATAAAAATGCTATTAAACAGCTTGGTCTTTCAACTTTTTCAGTTTTTGTCAAATTTTGTCGCCTTGATTGATCCAAAGAAAAATAACTTCTTTAGCTTTCATTCAATCACAGCATTGTATAAATCCACCTGTTGTTGTCTCTGTGCTGCTTAACAGAGTGGATAACCTTAACACTTTCAGTGTTAAACCTGAATTTGTTGAATAACATGCTCAGTTCACAGTAAAAGCTGGGACCTCTTTACAAACGGACATAAGTGGCAGCAAAGGCAACAGCTTTGGGCAGACATCCTGCACGCCGGTAAATACCCTCTGACTGCCAGACTTAATCTCTGGGTGTAAGTCTACCTCATGACATATGAGGCTCCGATTTCCTGGCCAAAAGGAGAGGGATTAGCTCAGAAACATTAAACCCCTATCACAGCTTAATGTCCGCTAAGCCACTGCTAATTAGTGGGCTGTGGCAGGAAGGAGCCATGTGACGAGCCACATGGCCAGCCGTAGAGTCACTGATGGCGAGCAGAAGAACGTCCGTAAATTCACAGGACTCTACTGATGGTGTAACTGGTTGGCGTGCTTTGGTAGAAGAAAATATGAATGGATGGGGTTTTCAGGATAATTTGTTGTGTTAGTTATCTCCCCTGAAGCATATTGCATGCAGGCCTGAATGTCAGCTGCAATCAAGTAAATTTATCCCTTTTTTGTAACATCTAAAATATGGAACTGTTCAAATTTTACATTCGAAGACTGATGTCTCCATGTTTAGAGTTTCTACTATTTTAAGTCTTGAAATATCTCATCTGATTTTTGTCTTAAATTGTAAAACATACAGTTATCATTTGATCTCACACACAGTGAATAGGACATGTGAAAGTGAGATTTTTTATTGGGCCATGCTACTCACTCACACAGCTTGAGTAGAGTAACGTAGTGTGTGTCTGTGTGTGCTGGAGGGCGGAATGTTAACAGAGGCTAATCTGTGCTGCGCTGTGCTGCCGAGCTATGCAGCCTCCTTGTTTACCCTGGCAGGAGAGCAGAGAGCCGGACGCCGGGCCACGCAACGCTGCTCCACAGCCGCCATTCCACCAGCTCTGTTTTCCTTGAGTCCCTACAGGCCCTCTGGCGCAGCCTGCCTTCAAAAAGCCCCAGTGTGATCTGTAATGAAATCTGCCTGTGTGCTCGCAGGCGTCAGCGGAGGCAAATTATACAATTACGCAATTAAAACACTCTCTTTGCCTTCACCCGGAGCGATGTCTGTATGCCGGCGGAGTGTGAGCCCCGGCCGTCGGCAGCTCCCCGTGTGCTGCTCCGTCTAATTGCTGTTGCACTGGAGCTAGGTCAATAGAAGAGGCAAAGTCATGTGTCTCAGACCACAGAGCCAGAGGGAATATTAAGAGATGGATGCAGGATTCAAAGCTGCAAAGGGTAGAACAGTGTAAAGAAAAATGATGTGTAACCCTACTGAGACTGCAAAATCCCTTCTGTTTGAGTTCTACTTTTCATGTGAAATGTGCTCTGCATGTAGAGATGTATTAGATCATCTTTTCATTTGAAGTTTGTCACATTTACTATAATTAAAAACAAACTTTTGTTGAAAATGTATTGACCTGAAAAAAAGACAGAAATGTGAGGAGGAAAAGAATGCTTAAATGTCAGAAATAATCACTTATTAGCTCCATCCATCTTCCTCTTAACTGTGACTAGCTACTCTATCCCTGCGGACCCCACAGTATGACTCTGCCATCACCATATTTCAGCATAGCGAGCTACATGTTCAATGGTTTGTGCTGATAGTTGTTGGGTCGACAGATGGTTGTGGATCTCTTCAGCTCCTCCAGATTAGTTATGGTTTAAAAAACGTTTTTATATGAAAAAACAAACAGCCTGGAACTCAGTGTTGTAGTTTTAGGTTCAGGAATTGTTTTTCCTCCTTTTTCCAGCTGTCAGGTGGATTTGTTCCTGACGTTGCAGATCTAAAATGGGATGTTTAATTGAAGGAGGAACTTCCAGAAGGAACTTCCATGACAGCAAATATCAAGGCAGGAAGGGGGTCTGTGGATCTTTTGAGGTACCCCCAACCCACTTTTGCCCTCACAAGAAACTCCTGCCTTGCAGAGGAAATACCATCCTGCCAATTAGACATCGGACAAAATCCCAGTATTTTGCAGAGCTCATGAAGCAGGACTATACAGTAAAAGAAAAATCATAGTGCTATCAAGATATAAAATGAAAAAAAATAAAAGCTTTAACTTTCTTATTTCTTCCAGTAAAATCTATTAGGAAGAACTGTATTATATCATCAGAATATTCTAGAAGAAGACTCCACAGGGATTGCATTTTTGGCTCAAATTGATTGAAAAGTAATAATTTTAGGACATTTCAATGATTAAACAAGAAGTTATGAGAGGAAAAAAAGCACTTAGGGACAAAACCACAGAGGCTCATCCAACATATTAAATCCACGTCTATTTTGGGTTGGAGACGTCAGAGGGATCACCAGCAGGAAAGAGTTTTTAAGGCTCAGATGGGTTCAGGAACAGAAGGACCACACATCAGGGAAAGAAACTGTTTGAAAAAGTGTGTGTGTGTTACTTTTTTTGACCGGGTGTGTGTGACTTACTACGATGCCAAGAAAACAATGTGTTCAGACTCCTCAGAGGCTTGTCCCACACTGAGAGGGAGTGACGGGTCGCTACAGCTACGCGGGGGGACGTTGGGGAGGGAAGTCCAAAGCCTAACAGTTTCTTCACTTCATTGTTGAGGTGGCGTGCAAGTGGTTGTGTTTGTCTTCACAAGCTGAGGAGGAATCGCTGTCTGTGCTCCACACACACACAGCTTACTGTCTGTCTGATAGACGTTAGTATCCTTCTGTTTGCTTTCTCAAAGGACACGTCTGTGTCTCTCAACACTGAATTTCTTTCTCAGTCTGGTTGCAATTACTCTGTGAAGCCAATGCCAGCGTTTGAAGGCAATCGCCAAAAAAATATGTGTCAGAAATGTATCAGAACACCGCAGGCATAGTGATAGAAGCACATGTAGCAGATCTGACTCTGAGATCATAGTTCGGCAGTGATTGACATCCCACCTGAAGTAAAACCATTACTCCTGGTGTGGAGGGGTTGGATTACTTTTTAACTATTATCTCATCCACGCCTGATAGAGCACACACACGGCCAGAGGTCCTGCTATTCAGATGGTAATTAGCTCCTCTCTCCCCTCCTGCATTTGGAAAAGTAAAAGAGACATCTGATGACCGGTCAGCCACCTCCCCAGCTTTTGTCCACACAAACACACACACACACCCCCACACACACACATAGGGGGATAAAGAGAGTGAGCGAACCGTGGCTCTCACCCTCCTCACCCTCACATATGGGACAAAGAGCTGGTCTGACTGGCTGCGCTCTTCTTTGTCCGCCGGCTTCTCAATACAACTCAATAAATCGCACTGACAGGTTTCCAAACTCCCAGGATCGCACAATTCAGACGAACTCTATCATTGTTTTGGAGGTGAAGGAGATGATAAGTTTTGTCCAGGCCTCAGAGAGCTTCAGGCAATAGTTTTATGCTTTTTCAATTTCTGTCAAACTGTGTTTTTCTCTGCACCCTGTTTATAAACTGAACATCCCATTATAAGCCAGAAGGGGTTAAATACACTTCAGTTTTTATTTTTACACATTGTGTTATTTTTCTATGGAAAATAATTTGACCTCCGTCAGATTGGCTGTAAAAGTGTAAACAGCATTTCACAAGTCTTCCGATTTCTCAGACATCTTTAGGTCTGGATTTTAACTGAACCATTCCATCATAATTATGCATCCCTCTCCTTGGTCTTTTACAGAATCTAGTTTTCTTTCAGGATTTTTGATTTAGGAATTCTTTGTCACTGGCATCCAAGGTTGCAAAAACAAAACAGAAACTCTGAAGACAACATTGACGTTACAGCTCGTCGCCATCCAGAATCTCACATTTGTTCTGGCAAAGCACATAACTCATCCAAGCTGCATCACTTTGAATATTGGGCAAAAGATCAAGTTTTCCCATCTGGGCCATCTTTTGGCAATTACAGAGACCCTCTGACTATGTGTGCATGTATGTGTGCATTCCCTTTGGGAATGCACACATACATGCTCAAATGTTCTAAGAACACCAAAGAAAACCAGGAGCAGAAAATGATGTGTCCGTGTTTTGCATCCAATTAAAACCCTTTCAGTTAAAGGTCAAGCTTGAATGACTTTATTTTCCTTATTATCTTAATGAAGTCTTTAAAACGGTTAATGTTCGACCCACAGGGGCTCCATATTGGACCAGACCCGACCGGATGGACAAGAAGCTCCTGGCCGTTCCTGCAGCCAACACTGTCAAGTTCCGCTGTGCTGCAGAGGGAAATCCAATGCCGACCATCCACTGGCTTAAGAACGGCAAAGAGTTCAAGGGCGAAGAGCGAATGGGAGGCATCAAGGTGAGAGGAAGAGCATGTTGACACTTAAAGGGTAGAGGAGCAGGAATGAGATTTATAGACTCAAATCTTTACACGAAGAATTCTGCCAGGTGGAGGTCATAATCTGCCTTCTCAAGGTGCTGCCTGAGTGTCCCTTAGCAAGGCATTTTAATCCCTTGGGAAGGCAGTAAAGCTGCGGTCTATCTGTGTGTAGGGAATTGCTACGATTCTCCTCTACGTCAATTTCCGTAACTGAAGTAGTGTGAAGAGTGAGTGCTGAAAGAAAGCTGTGCCCAGTGAATCTTCTCACGGTGAATAAAGGTTGGGAAAGACGCCACAGAGTCATTCTCTACCCACAAACGACAAAAATAAATTCAGCGGGGGTCAAAATGCACTTCTGAAAATAGAGCGGGAACCAAGCATGCTTGCATGATAGTTCAGCGTTGACAGTGAAGCTGGGTTCGGTTTGGTAATCACATTCAGCTCAAGCTGGGCTCCTGTGTAGAACAGTACTGTACCGGGCCTAGGTCCACCTCTACACACACATATTCTAAATCAGGTTTTGATTTGGTTTTGAAAAGTTGAGTTATTTTTGTTTTTTTATATCTCAAAAGCAGCTGGCACTAAATGATCCCTGTGTTTTGGAAGAGCTGTGTCTCCCAATGTCAGCTGGGTAAACATGTCTTACTCAGGAAGCGAGGTACTGAAGCACATATTTTCCACAAGTGGAACTTTGGCCTTTAAAGAGTTAAATGTAACGAGATCCTGCAGCTATTAACAGTTTACTGAGATCTCCAACATCTGCTCCCAGCAGACCAGCAGCAGTTGTCTCCCTCGCTCTGTCCCCACTCTCTGTGTCTCTATCTATGCATCTATCTCTCACACACACAGATTCACAAACACCTGTCTGCAGCCCTCAGGACATTCTAACTTTGACTGAAGTGGCTCCCCGACAGCAGCTTTTAGCGTATGTAGTATACATGATGATTTGCCGATGATAAGGTTGGTCCCACGTTGTTAGCAGCAGATTAATCCCCCACTGACTGTTCAGAGTACGTACATGTTGGTTCCACCTGTTCATCCAATCCTCAGCTTCTCTAAGAAGCCCCCCCAAAGAAGGCTCGTCTTGGGAAAAATTCCAAACACACTAGTGTGGAAAATTACTATATTATATGATAACAAGAAACCAAGCTGTTTGTTCTAACTGTTTGTTTGATAGTTTCCATGTATGATAGCTTTCCTGCAAGAAAGAATGATGAACATATTTATAAGTTTTGTGCAAAAGCAATTTGCATTATGGGCCTTTTTATATATATACTGGGTTAAAGCCCTGCGATAGCTGTCCTGCTACAGCAGGGAAACTGATGGTTAGATTTATGCTTCAATCTAAATGAAATGAACTTTGTTCCATTATTGTTGCAAGCAAAGAACATATTTTGTAAATGGAAATTTGGCACAAAAAAAAGAAAGCTTTTTGTAAATGTCAATCTGAAGGAAATAAAATCCAGAAATGAGTTTTTGAAAAAATTTTTATTTAAAAAAAAAAAGGTTTAAATTTGCTGTTCAAAAAAAAATTTTCAAAGGTTTTTCAAATAAAGTTTTACAGATCACATTCTTCACACTCCTAGTGGCCGGGTTTCTTAATGAGTGACAATGCCTTTCTATTGGTCAATGTGGACAAGAACGAGCAGGTGTACTGCGCTTGTAGTTTAGAGAATGTGACCTATAAAACAGCATTTAAGAGGAATGCAATTCATAAAAACTGAAATCAAAAAATACAAATTAAATAAAATGTTAAACTATTAAATAACACAAACCATGCGTTTTATTGTAATTTTTAACATTTTCCTTTAGCTCTTTTGACATTAAAGCCATTTTACTGCCCTATTGCCATGACTTAAAGTGGGATCTTCAGAGTTGACCAATGACTTATTAGGATGTTGCTCTTTCCTTAAACATGCCAAAGAAGTGCCACATCTTTTTTTATGTCTAAGTTGGGTAATTAAGACGTTCTCCCATGTGTCTTTATTGAGTAATGTTCTCATGCTCCTCCCCTCCCTTCTGTCCCAGAAATGTTTAAAAATCCAGTGAGCTAGTCACCATGTGGCCAGTGTTTGCCCTCACAGAGGTGAAGGAAGAGGTCATCCTCTATAGAACCACGGTGCTGGTTGAAAGACCCAAATGTGACATGCTCAGGCTTTAGGGATGTCAGGCGTAACAGCTTGAAACCATATGAGTTTTTACATTTCTGCTGACCATCTCCTTAATCCAGCCAGAGGGGTAAATAGTACTTTGTATTTTTTTTATTTGTCTAATGACTGATGCCTCCCATTCTCTAGACAAGAAGTGGCTTGCATCTTCATTACTAGTTATTTCTGTTTTTGTTCTATTCAGGCATCTGTGCTAGTGATACTAATGCTTACTACATCCTTTATTTATTTCATTAAATCATTAAGAAAAATTAAGCTTTAGCTAAAAAATGTAAAAAAAAAAAAAAAAAATGCAAAGGAAATGTATCACTTATATGCTGTATTTTTTGTTATATTTTCAGCTGTCTATATTTTAACGCGTCAGCTCAAAAACTTTTGTACAAAAAATTTTACTTTACAGAGAATAAAAAAAAAACTCTTTCTCCAGTTCCTACAGTCAACCTGGGTCTGGTGTTCCCACAGTATGCCGATCAGACCTGAGGCGATTTTAGCACGGGTCGCTTGCCTAGTCGTTTGACTCGGTAGACATGCATCAAGCCGCTTCTTTCTGGGTTTAAAGAAGTTTTTTAGCCAGCGGGAAAGGTGTATTAGAAAAGTAACTAGTTACTTCTCCAAAAAGTAACTGAGTTAGTAACTCAGTGCTGCTCAGTGAAAGTAACTCGTTACTAGCCAAATGATCTAGTGTCAAAAAATTTGGAAAACTTTCTTGTTATTGGAATTTTAAATATATCTAGAGGTTCAATGTTGAATATAAGGTGTTTGTTATTTATTCATAAATTGAATAATTCTTTCAAGGGTCTAAGCATCTGAAAATATTGAAAACTAATCATCACTTATCTTTCTATGTGTGTGGTTTGACAAATGAGTTGCATTAACATCATGCAGATGTGATGATAAGTTGTTTTGGCATTTATTATTTTGCACACTAACAGCCTTCAGTTGGCTGCAAAATAGGTATGAAGCTGTTTATTTCCTTCAATCTTTTGTTTTGTACCCCCATGACAAAAAACACTGGCCCCACCATGGTGGCCCAGGTAAATTTGGCCTAGAGCAGTCACGACCTGTAAAGTAGGACTCCAATCACAACAAACCAAACTGTGCAGATGTTTAACGACAAATATATGTCACCTAAAAAGTAAAACAATCCAAATATGTACATGATTGGGAAGTAGAAAGAAAATTATTAACTGCTGTTTTCAGACCAAATATCAAAAACAAAAACATAAAGAAATACAGACCAAGTATTTATTTAAAACAAACCAGATTGAATTGTCTGCATGCTGGCATGAGCAGCAGACAGATTTAGACAGCATTCTGTCACCCTGTGTCACTGACTAAAGAAACCATCATCCTTGTTGATGTGATGAGTTCATCTCAGAAGGCCGGGGTTACATGAATAGAGTCCAGGGGTCCGCAGTCCTGACAGCATAACAATGAAATACCAAAGACTCTATTCCCCCATTGGGGTCTTCAAGGTGAAACCATCTCCCTCCTACATTTATTCTGACTTGACAACGTCATCTTTGCACTGACAGCCATGCTTAATTTTGGCTGAATGAATCACAGCTATGATAATTTTTAACCTTTGGACTGGTCATAGGAGGACTACATCTCTCTCTGAGTGAGGCATGTGTTTGTGGGATTGTGGATGACCAGTTAACCGACCCACACTTGATAAGGCCGATGGAGTTTTGTCCCGTTATCGCAGCCTGCAAGCAATTTAGTCGTTTCTTCTAAGTGCTTTCAGAGCTTGGAGGGGTGAGAAAATCCTCGTGATTGAACAGACCATTATGGCCCATTAGGCCACCCACAAAAGGACTGCAAACCAGTGCTGTAAAGATATGATACCATCAGTGGCCAACTTGGCAACCACACTTCACCCAGAACCTGATGTTTGCTCTAAAATAATGAACACCCTTGACAAGTGATTTTATTTTTGTCTGTTTCGCACCGTTATAAAAAACGTACCTCTACAAATCCCCACAACTTTCAACCTTAATCATTGCCTCAGTTTTGAAAACTCCAACTTTTTTATGTAAGTGCTACAGATCATCAGCTAAATGTGTGTAGTTCAGTGAGATGGTAGATTTTGGATCATCAGATCTCCAGCTCCGTCATAAAAATCCCATTCCACAAAGCTTAACTGCAGCAATTTCAAAATATGCTATTGGAGAGGGAAGAACATTTTCAAAAAGGCTTCATTTTACCTATTTTACCTTCAAAAACCTTTAAAACATACAACTTGACTTCAGTTTTTGTTGCTTAGAGGAGAAGATTTGTCTCCCCTGACGATCAGACATTGACATTGCTGTTGGTATCATGGTTCACCAAATATTTGGTCACATGCAAGAAGGTGTGAACTGCTTTAAAAACTAACTTCTCTTATCTGTTCAGAATATGAACATTTCAGTCCTCAAAGACTTTCCTTTAGGTTTATACTGTAGCTGAATCCTGTTTACCCGTGGTGAGCCATGCATCTTTGCAGAGGTTGTTCAGCAAATGCAAAAAGGACTTCTAGACATTCCTAGCATCAATGAACAACACACACCCTGTCACTCAGTTTAGGAGTTTTATTTAAGTCAGAAATACATCTGGATGTTCTGTTTAGAGAAAACCCTTCTAAAAATCTCAGATGTTCCAGAAAACCTAAGGGTTGTCAATGTTTTTGCTCTTCGTCTTTTATTCCTTTTGTTTAGAGGTTGGTTTCATAACGTTGAGTTCTGATGACAGGAGGTTTGTTTTCAAGCAGAGTCTAAGAGAAGGTCCTGATCTGTGTAGATGCACCAAACAGGCCATTAGCATCCTTTCTGG